AAACACTGCTCACAATTCATTGTAGTATCTAATTTTTGTGCTACATTAAACAAAACTGCAGGTCTTTTGAAGGCAATGGGGGCTTTGACATTCACTTTGGACAGCAGAGGCAGAACTTCACCTGCTGGCCTTCATGAGATAGTCAAGATTTATGTATAGTTCTGTTGCATTTAAGGGTCAAATAAAGAAAAGAGACTCTACCATTCAATGTTATGCAAAATAGATAAGAAGTCTTACATCTCCTTAGACAGGGAAATTGAAAACAGCCAAAGACATAACTACATGGAGACACTGTTTATAAATGAATATGAAAAACGTGTGTACATGTAAGCATAAGCATTCAGCTCCCAAGAGCAAATCTTACACTACGAAAACATGAGGCTTGGAAAGGCATGAAGAGAGTTAGGGCAACCAAATAATCAAAGCACTTTATGCAAAAGGTTCCAATGTTTGTAATCTGTCACATGTTTTGTATGTGGCTCATTTCTGAATATCTAAGCGCTTGGAAATCTGTTATCTTGAAGGCAGGTAAAATACATCTCATAACTGGTGCAAAGCAGAAGGCAGGGAGGGGGAAAGCTGCATAGCTACTGTGGTTATGTGTATAGCTACTGTGGTTATATATTGTCATGGCCATGCATTTTGCTAAGAGCAGATTGTGTGTAACTTACTGGCATTTTGCAATGAGGTCTGGGAGAGATTGGGAAAACTGTCTATTGGAAATAGGGAGGGAAATGAATTTAATGAACATAGGTGATAATATAGTACATAATACAGCAAAAGAGATCTAAAAGAAATGTCAGGATGAGGCCTGGAGGCTGAGGTCAGCATCCTGAATAGTGACTTCCATTTATTGATAGAGAATTCTCCTGGTTCCATCAGCACGTCCCAGTCTACCCGTGTGGGGCAAAACTCTTACACCACAGTGGCTCAGTTAAAAAGATTTTTCCCCATGCACACAAGTAAAGTAGACTGCTGTAAACTGTGTTGCTTGAAACAACTTTTGTGGATTCACTTTGCAAACCATTTCAAGAGAAGTATATTTCTGCTTATTTCTGCTAAAGTGAGAGAGCAACTGAGTCCTAGCCATACTTACTCCTTTGATATAAACTATCCGTCCTGGAGGTCCAGGGGGTCCTGGAGGGCCAGGCAAGCCAGGGGGGCCCTGGTAAGAGAAAGTTGAATAAGAAAGATATTAGATCCTTTCACATACAATTCAGTTGAGCCTAAGGAAAGAAGGACAAGGGGTCCAGAGGGCTCAATTTAATCATGAAGTTTTATATTACATGGCTTGAGGGAAAGATGAACTTGCGAGACTAGCCTAAGCTGCAAAGAGAAATTTCATATTTAACCTAAACAAAGGAAAAACAAAGTGGTCTAAGATTATTATTTCAGGAAAAAGAACCCTATCCTATGTTTCACACTGGGCGGTTTGCTTTTTTTTTTTTTTTGAACAAAGGAAAAACAGAAGACTAATACAACAGAAATAATTTACAAAATGTGTTCCATTGAAATACAGTGAGATTGACTTAATCTTTCCTCTTGCCTAACTGATCCTTGTTTTCTTAGGATTTCTATGATAATACAGTAAATGGGTTTTTTCAGCCTCTTTTTGATGCAGATAAAATATTATAATATTACTGCTGTGTTATAGGTACTACTTTTTTCTAGCACACATCTCCCCAGTACATTGGAACAGCCACATGAATTACTCTGCCAAGTAAAAAAGTAAAAAATATGCTATTCTTAAACTTATTGCTTATGCTAAGCAGTGCTTATTGTCAAGTACTCAATTCTAACTGTTTGCTATGAGATTATTTGTATGAATGCTATTCATAAGAATGGAGTGGCTGAACCAGGCCTTTGGTTTATCACTTTTCATTCCACAATTGCAGGATATAGGTGGGCGTGCAAGTTCTATCGTCTTTCAGGGACAAGGAAGTCGTTATTGTTCTGGATACAACACTACAGCTAAAGCAGGTAGCTGGTGTCTGCAGTTATCTGCTTGTTACCAGGGTAAGTGACTCTTCATTAAAGACATCATATATATGCTTAAGTGCTCTTGGTACCTGTGCTGGATAGCTAGCATGTGAATATAAGCTTCCACGAGGTTTCATACTGATAACTTGAATGAGGAACTCCGAGATAAATGAAAAAAATTTGCAACCTCAAATCCTGTGCCTATTTGAACCTATGCTTGCAATGAATTCATACCTTTCACCTGGATCTGATACAACTATGTATACCCGTAAGAGCTGTCTAGAGGGACCCAGACTTTGACTTTCCAATGACTGTTACTAAAAAGGAAAAATAACAGAAGCATATCATCATTTCTAGATCTTCTTGGCTGTTTTAGTCCTGCCATCATTTTCAAGGGATTCATATAAATGGATTTGATTTAAGGTTTTACAATTTTTCAATTAATTTACAATATATAAGAAGAACTTACATGTAATGCTTCACCTCGTTCACCTTTCACACCTCTCATTCCATTCAGTCCTGGGCGGCCCTGAAATAAGTAGAATAAGTAGAAACAATTCAGCATGCATTCAGAAGCAGCTGATCTAACTTTATTCCACTTCAGAGTGCTTAATACGTACTGGGCGTCCTGGGAAACCAAGTGCTCCTTTGGGTCCAGGAGGTCCTATTGGTCCCTGGACAGAAAGGAAAGTGGGATTATGGAGAAGAAGAATAAAATAGAATAAATTTTAAATGGAACAAAATTGTGACATATGTTTGATTACTTAGAAAGGATACCATAGTCACAGTCACAATTTCAGTCTGTGATAGTCCACAGACAATGCACAAAATATGCTCTCTACTCATAGTTCTAAGGGATTTCAGAAACTGAGAGGAATGCGTACAAAATTGAACTCTGTTTTGGAAAAAGATTGGTCCTCTGAAAAGAAGTATGAATTCTCAGCCATTTATGGGGTGTAAAATTCAAAACTGAGCTGCCAGGCACCAAAGTATAAAGGAAAGTTAAATTAATCAACCAATATTAAAACGGAAGTCTCTTGTAGTAGTGTATGCTTATATATTTGCTCTTTGGTTTTATGTTTTTTTTTTTCTAAATATTTTTGTGTCAGAGCCTGCGAGAAAATTTAAGACTTTATATATTACCAAATGACCACATACTTCCTGCCATCTTTGGTATACGGATTTACTGTGCTACTAGTTGAAGCAGAGATGATGATTCTTTACACAAGAGTAACCTATTTGACCATACTGACAAGAAACTGAGGGGAAAACAGGCCCCTCAGGATAAGTTGCCCAGGGCTATGGGTGATCCATGGTTTGGTATTTACAAGCATTTTATCTTTAAACAGCCAGAAAGTGAGCAGGTTTACAAAGCAGTAAACCTGAGCAAAACCACAAGCTTTCATCCTGCTGTCAGCTTCCCAAGGCTCAACAAAACCACCAGAGTCTGGGCAGTTTCTTTATATGTGTGTTAACTTTTCTGGTTTCATTTTCACTTTTCTTTTTTCAGCCTGGTGAAATGCTGAGGGACACCCCTCACTTGGCATTATGGTGTTGTGTTTTAACTTCAGCAGTGATTCATAAGTCACAGTCATGTTTTGGCCTGTGGATAGAAGACACAAGGTGAAGACCTCATGTGAGGGAGGTTGCATAAAATCCGAAAATGGTACTTCAAATACCTAAAACAATGGGGGGTTTAATAGTCTTTCTGTTTACAGATGTGATGTACATACCTTTCACAGGTGACAATTTATATGTTTAATCTTGAGAAATTACTGTGCTATCAGTGCATTTATTGTAAAAAAAAAGGCTATTATTATCTGCAATATGGTGGTTAATGCAGATTTATGCTGATAAAAGAAAAGCTCGTAGTTTCACCACCTACGCCAATTCAGGCATGTCACTTTACATCACCAACTTTTGTTGGCATCATAACTACTACTTCAAAGGATGACTAGCAAATAATTGAAAACAAGAGAAACTCCTCATTTTGTCAGTCACTCCTCTTCATTAATCAGGAACGTGGAGACTAAGAAGGAATAGAAGATGAATTAAACAAAACGGAAGAGTGAGAGAAATCAAATCAGAACTAAGGAGGTGAAAACAGACAGTAAGGAAAGAAAAAAGAAATGCAGAAAAGAAAATTGATGATCTGCAAAATCTGACAAGTTAAGGATCCATGGAAATGCTCTAGATACATAAATCTTTTCTGCTATTTCTCTGCTTAACTCCAAGATCAGAAGTCCTTGTTTCCCTCATTTGCCTGCCTACTTAAGCAAAAGCAGTGTTGGGAACAGTGTCGATATGCTTCCTGACTGTTTTTGCTCCTTTCAGTTTCTTTCACCTAGTTGAAATACATATTTTGGGTGAGGAGCTACAACCGCCTTCACTCAATGCCGACAGCAGAGTCTTTTCAAAAAGTTCTCTGCATGGCAGCACTGAAGCCTTGCTGCTACCAGCACCTCTGGGGCCTGCCTGGGAAGGACCAGAAGCACTGTTTGATTTCCAGCTATGAACACTGCACAGCATGAAGCTGAACTCATAGTTACTTTGCTTTTTCCAGTTTCTGATACAATCACTACCGAGAGGTCACAGGGCATCATTACTGCTAATTTCACCAATGTATAGAGTTCTGTGTAAATCCTATGCAATAAAACCCCTAAAACACCTCATGCTCAAGGGCTGTGACAATCAGAACAGGAACTTTTCATGTGTTGTTCCTATTGCACAACAGAGGAATGAGCATCCACTCCCTCTGATCTGTTTTTCCATGATTTAAAGATACAGAGGATTTGGGTTGCTTCTTGGGAAAGTGCACATAGGGTCAAACTAGATTAGTGCCCCTTGGTGTACTAAAAATGCATACTTATACATTTTCGGGTTTTCTACCCTTAGATTTCAGTATGCTTTACAAAATTAAGCAACATTGCCTTCACTTTACACTTGAGGGAAGAGAGGCATGAGTTGCGTGACATAACCCAGGAAGCCTGTGACAGAACTGAGGCATGTTATTCAGAGCCCAATGCTGTAGCCCTGGTATCTGGGCATATAGGAAGTGTGGCTAAGTTAAGAGCTAAAAAAATACCAAGGAATCTTTTGTGTACTCAGGATTTTGCATCTCATCTGATAACAGAATCTTGATGAAGGAATAGCCTCTAGATTTAAATATCAGTCTCTCACCAATCCATTTTCTGAATTAAGTCATTGCCAAAGTGATGGAGTTGTCATTTACATTTAAAGCTGGCAAGTATTTATGTAATATTATTTAACTGAAAAATGATCTACATTCATCGAAAATATATTCAAAGATTTATGCATCAAACAGAAGTTGATAATCAAGTATTTTGCAATTAGCAGCTGTCATTAACAACAACAAAAAAGGTGCATTTCAGAATGAATTCCACAGGATAAGTAAAATTAAAGATTATATAACCTTAAATTGAATATCATTTACTAGTACTTCCATGTATATTTTTATCATGTCAAAACTGATGACTGCATTAGATATGAAATTCAGGAATGGGATCTGAGGATCTCAGGAATCTGAGCCTTACTTAGCCACCAAGATGACTAGAAACAGGCTTTTTGCTTATTAGTTTAAATAAAGAGAAGCCTCTGATTGTGCTGTGCTGAAGCCACCTTCACTATTTCCTATGTCAAGACTGCAGCCCTCCCCTGACAAATGTTACCAACTGCAAAAGACACGTGCAAGCAGCCACAACTAGAAGTGAGAGAGAGACATGAGGAAATGTGAGGAAATGGCTTATCAGAAAAGGAAGTTTCATATATAACAGCAAAGGAGTCAAGAGAGTCAACTGTAGCAGACAGATGCTGTGGTTCTTACTAACGGCTCCTACTCTTTTTTTTTTTTTTTTTCAAATTTTTGAAAGTGGTCTATGAACTCATTCTGCCTCTCATAGCACAAAGGAGCAATCAGAGTTTCCAGTTATCTCAAAGCTGATCTTGGGCTAGGGCTTTAAAGTGGAAAAGAACCACTGGCACCCAAACTATGGCAATTTATATTCCAGAGGCCCTGATCAAGCACTCTGCAGTATAAACATTATAGTTGCACAAGATACCCACCAACGGCAAAGGGGGTTTTACTATTGGAGAATACTAAAATGAATCACGGCTCTCAGCAGCATTGATCAAACTGAGGAATTCTGGACTAAGAATACTAGGATTTGTGTTTTCCTATGTGACCAGGGAGATTGGGTGATAGACAACACACAGTTTTGATTCGAATTTGTGCCCATTATCATGGAAAGATCTAGATTTAAAGTTGAGGTGAGTAACTAGGAAGAAAAATCATGGACTCGGCTGTTTACTTCTAAGTTTGTCAGTGTATCAGGGCTGGAGCGGCAGCAAGATTTTAGGTTATCTCCTGTCTCAAGTCCTGCCTAGCGGTGAGAGCAAAAGCAGCTGCCACCAGATCTCTGATCTCTTTTCTGAACATGAGGGATCAAAACAGCATTTCACAACCCTCTCACAGTACTATGAGTACACACTTGGAAGCCTCAATCATGACTTGTTTGGCAAATAGATTCTTCTTGTCTTTTAGGTTTTGTGGGAAAATTACATTCTGGGTCATATATAGACTGTTTCAGTACGGCAAAGATAAAAAGAAGAGGCCCAGTGTTCTTAGTATCCCTTAAATACTAACAAAACAAACCTTAGCACCATCCTGGGTTTCTCTGAAGATGAACTCTGGAAGCTACTAATGTCCGTTATCTCAATGTCAGCTGTTGTTACTGAACTGGCAATGGCCTGTTACCTTTATAGCCTTAAGGTTTTGGAGGTAATTCACTACACTTTTTCTGACTTATGCGAGCCACACACTTCTGTTTATCATCACAGCTTCCTTTAGTGTGGAAATGCTCATGTGCTTTCACTAACTTGAAAAATAGATTGTTATAATGAACTTGGATTGTAGTTGGACAGTTCAGCACAACGGTCTGAGCAGGAAGAGGAACTGGCAGAACCAAGTCTTGAGATAGGATATGAGTCCCAAATTCCCCTCTAGCATTATCACTGAACCCAGTGATGGCAAGGACATCCTTTAATTCACCTTGCCTATATGCTCAACTATATGAAGCTGCATTTCAGATAGTAGAAGATGGTAATTGGAGCCCCTCCCTCTCTACCAGTTCACTCAAGTCCTCTCTACAAGTCCACAACTCCTTCTAAGTTGTGTAAGTTCCTAGCTTTGAAGATATTTCACTATTGACCTAAAAAAGATACATTTGTACAACCTGAATTTAAATCCTCAGTCAAGTAAGTAGCTTACAGCACCACATATATACCAACTACATTTTTTTCTAAAGAACATTGCCTGTCCTTAAACATGAGTATTACTTAAGCATAAATATTTCACCTCTGCTCAGAAGTAAAGTAAGACTATCTTGCATTTAGTAATATCCGTAAAAACCAAACCAAATGGAAAAGAATCCATGCAGCTTTGGACAATTTTTTCTTACCATTGGTCCTGCCTGTCCTACTGCTCCAGCTTCTCCCTGTTAGGGATAGAAAAACACACAGATGACAGAGAGAACTTAACGCAAAATCTAGCAGAGGAGGGTGGCAACATGGTGGCCAAGGAGGAACACAAAGCAGCGTTAGCTCACCTTCTGCCCTTTTCTTCCTAATAATTCAGTTAAAGATCCATCAGCAGCAACAAGAGCTCCTGGTTCTCCCTTTTCACCCTGAAATTAGCAAAGCATTTTTTAGTGTTTACAAAGCAGCCGTCAGTGAAGCAGGAAATGTCAAAGCAGCAATATTGCTGTTCAGGTTTTACAGATTAGTCAGACAAAAACACTATAATGTGAAATCGGTGTGCAGCTTCACTCTGCTTCCTGTGATCATTAATCCTGAGCGTAATCTGGTGTTCTCACCTTGTAATCAGCCTGAGAACCGCCATGTCACTGGCGAGCGTTTAATATATCAACTGCACAGTTTTGCATTGCTTCCAGTAGGGACTTCACTGGTTTTAAGGCTGAGCTTGATGATTTTACACACTTGGTAAAACAACAGGAATCCTTGTGCCAAAAGGGGGCTGGCATTTGTGGCCTGGGGCATTTCTTCCCAAGCACCAAAGGTGACATTCATCTACAGTCTCATTTCAAACTGCAATTAACCATTCCCAAACCTGTATTATCTGTGAGAAAGTGAGGTCAGCTACTTACAAACACAAAAAATAAGAGGAAGAGCTTCCTGCAGGCGGAGGAGAAGGAGAGAAGAATGAAACAACAACTGTGCTATTTACAAAACAAAATCAGTCCTTAGTCGTATCTTGGCAGTGCTACAGTGTAAACCTGATAGCGTAGAAAGAAGAGAAAGAGTTCCCCAGGTCACACTTTCTTTGGGAACAGAAACATTGCAATATGCTTCTGTAGGCAAAGCCCTTGGTGCTAAGGCAGGAGGAGGAAAAGATTATCCCTATATATTTGGCCTTTCAGTTAGGATCCCAGGCTGTCAGCACAGATGATCAGCTTGCAGGAAAAGGTCACCGCATGTTTAATGTTTATGCAAACTTATTCCGATAAGTGCACACTGCATTGCAGAATTTCAATGCTGGGGACAGAATGTCAGCTCTCAGCAAGATACCAAGTTATTTTGTTCAGTGCTGCTTCAACTTCCATTTAGAAAAATTTTCACATAAACTTATTAACAGCCTATTCCCTAACAAAACCAAAATCATAAAACTTTTAATGACACCAAATACTTGTTTGCAGCTTGCGCTTTTCCCTACTCATTTTCTCTTACCTGTTGTCCTTTAGGTCCTCGTAGTCCAGGTAACCCAGTATCTCCCTTTGGTCCCTGAGGGCCCTACGTAAAAATAAATACATAAATAAACCTGTGGTGAGGTCTACTGATAATACAGAAATGGGCCATTTTACTAAATCTAATTTTAAATAAGTGGAATGTTAAATCCTGAACTTTAAATCACTCTGATTGTAATCTAAACAATTTTTAAAACAAAATTGCTGTCTTGGGAGAATCTGTTAAAAACAACAAAACTAACACCCTGGTGTTTTTCATCAATGTAGAAGATGCACACAGTCATGCATGGAAAAAAAGCAAACATTAATAAAAGTGGAAATTCAGCCTATTTTTTCTTCCTTCCTCCTCTATTCTCTCTCACTTCAATCAGCCAGATGGAGTTCAGAAGAATTTCTGAAGGTACATTTTTAGGGAACTTTTAAAAATTATTATTTTCCCTAAAATATAGATTTTATGTATGGAAAAAAACATAATTTCTCTATCTTGTGTGAAGAAAATATTTGGCCTAGGTCAGAATTTCACCCACCAAGAATCAAATTCAAGTCTACATGATTTCTACATTAGCCAAGAGCTAGAGAAAAGAGCTGAGGTAAGGACAATAATAGTGTTCTTGTACCTGTAGAAATTCTTATAATGACAGAGAGTATAAATTCCTTGAATAACTTTCTCAATCTTACAAACTCATTTTTAAATAAAAATATTTTGCTTAAAGTGTTTTATTTATTTATTTATTGTTTTCCAATGCAGTCTACAATAACCAGGACCCACTCAGTAAACAACCTTCTATAAAACTTCAGGCAATTTGCCAGCATTTTGCCAACATCATTTATCAGCTTTCCCAGCTTTCTTCTGAGTTAGGCAATAGAGAAAGGATTCTGAGATCGTATGCCTGAATCTAAACTGCAGTAAGGTCTTAACACTGAGTTCATTTTCACCACAGCCATAATATGCTGTTGACTGTATTAAGACCTGTGTTCTCTCATATGACAATTTATAGGGTTTTGTATAAATTCTATACTACATGAATGTTAAAATATTAAGTACATTCAAGAATATGTATTTAAATCCCAGGAACATAATACTTACAGGAAATCCTGGTAGACCTGGCTTGCCATCTGGCCCCTGCAAAACGCACAAACCCCCAAACAAACACGAATTATGGATGTGAAAAACAGAGCGGAGTTTACATGTACCTCCTAACCTGTGACTATTAATTGATCTGAAACTGGAAAAAGAATTTCTTTCAGCTAGTGCTAACTTGCAAACTGTCCATAGTGCCCCAATCTTACAGTTTTTTTTGTTTATTTGTTTTCTGAGACTTTCCAAAACTGAAGGGACAGACAGCAAGGAAAAGCAGAAGAAAGTTGACGTTTTCCCCATATCAAACACATACAATTTCAGCCTTTGAATCTTTTCTAGGGGATATCATAGGGAACACAGTAGCCCTCTCTTCGCCTTGTCCACTGAGCTGCTGGCTATCTGTGGATGACAAAATTTTATCCACTAGATTGTGTGTAGAACATTTCACTGTGGATAAGTAGAGTCAAATTCTCGTCTTCCTTGTTTCAACAAGAATTGAATATTAGGAGGAGAACTAGGCTCACTTTGTGAGTTTACCTAGCATATAAATCAAGCATGAAAATATATAAAATAAAACACACACACAAAAAAAAAACTCTGCAAATTGAACTGGTTGTGAAGCATGATGCTTAGTTTTAGGGAGTAAAATTTTGCAAAGGAAAACATATTGTTGTTTAGTGGGCCACTTAAGCTCTAAGTTTGCATAGACTAGACAGCACAAAGAAGGTAAGTTTCTCTGTGGATCTAACCCTAGGATTTGAAACCAGTACCAAGAAGCATCGAGAATTTCAAATATTTGACTGAATTGTGATAAAATCCTGGCTTCAAAGCAGAGCTTGAAATTTCACACCTGTGGTTCTCCCATGAGATTTCCAGCTTCACATATCCAACTCTAATTGCTGTGAGACAAAACTCCTACCCTGGAGCTTTGCATTCCTAACCAGCGATTTAACAGAAGTCTTTTATATATATATATATATAAATTGTTTCATGACTTGAAAAACAAGAGAAAAAATGGAAGGAATTGCAATGTAAAATCGAGTCCCTATTTTTGCATCAGTTCCATTTCTGTTATTTGGAACATATAGTTCAGATCCAGAGCTAAGTCAATCTCCTCAGCTGTTTTCTTCAATGTAAAAATGCAAAAATTAATTCATATACATGCAAGATGAATACAATTCATTATTCATACAAGATTCAGTTCTGCTCTGTTGTACTCCTGCACAGCTTCTTGCAAGTTAGTGGGAGCTACACACACATATCTGAGGCATATTAATTGGTACTGGTAGATGGTACCAGATGGTACTCAAAAGGAGATACTAAAGACAGAGCAAGTCTGAACATTTAATAAAGCAGCATATACTCACTGGGGGCCCAAGCAATTCTTTAATTCCAGTGGAATTAAAAATTCCATCTGTATCATTCAGTAGTAGCTAGAAAGGTAGATAAGGAACAGATTATTTCAAATGTTAAATCGGTTGTTTGGAGTAGACATACATTTCTGGAAATGCACACACAATTAAAGCATCCCATTATAACTATGGGTAGAAGAAACATGAATGAGGCAACAGAGAATGATCTCTATATTTAATTTTGTTATGCAACTGGCGCTTGTGTTACATTTTATATGTAAAGGTCTCTGAGTACTTCAAAAACTTTCAGGAACTCAATCGCACAAAACACCTAACCGTGGGGAGGAATTGAAAACTCTGACACAAAATACTGTGAACTGACCTCATCATCATATAGTGATCAAAATAAAGGTTTCAGACTCCAGTACATCAAGGGCATTCTGAGATGGTGGAACTGATTGCACACCTTGTTAAGGAGTGCAACAGCTAGTGCTGCACCAGTACTGCACCATCTAATGATTCTTAAGTAAGTCTGACCAAGTTGCTGTGGCTGCTCAATGCAACGTAGAGCAATCAGAGAAACTAGCTTGGTTTCCCAAAACAGCATGTACACTTGAATGTAGTACCTTGAACGTAGGCAACACCTAAGCTAATTGTCTCTGAGTCTTGGGAAGGCTGATCAGAGCCTGGAGTTGGTTAACTCGGCACTAACTTGGGGATATCTACAGCTTGCGATCGCAGGTTCACAGGGACCTCTGGAGGTCACCTAGTGCAACACCCTGGCAGAAGCAGGTCTGGTCAGACCGAGTTGCTCTGGTACAGGTCCAGTTGAGTCTTGAACACCTCTAAGGATAGAGACATCACATCCTTTTTGGGCATCTGGTTACAGTATTTGACCACCCTCAGAATAAAAAAAAAATGCTTATATCTAATTGGAATTCCTCATGTTCCAGCTTGTGTCTGTTGCATCTCATTCTATTGCTGTGCACGCCCTGGAAGTGTCTAACTTCATCTTTTCTTCATCTTCTGATCAGGTAGTTGTAGACAGCAATAAGGTCTCCTTTTAGCCTTCTCTTCTCCATGCTGAACAGAGCCACTTCTCTCAGCTTCTCCTCATGCATTATGTGCTGTAGCCCCCTGACCATCTCGGTGACACTCTGCTGGCCTTGCTCCAGTTTGTCAATATCTTTCTTGTACTGGGGAGCCCCAAAGTTGGCATAGTACTCCAGACACAGTCTAACAAATGTTGAATAGAGGGTAAGAATCACTTGCTTGGATTTAGTTGCTACCATCTTACCAATACAGCCCAGCATACGGTCGGACTTCTTCACTGCAGGGGCACACAGCTAACTTTGGTCCATAATGAGCACCAGATCCTTTTCTGCAGAGCTGCTTCTTCATCTGCCAATACCTTGTGTCATTGTGTGGGGTTATTCCACTCACAGTGCAAGACTTTGCACTTGGTCTTTTTGAACTTCAATAACTTTCTGTCTGTTCATTTCTCCAACCTGCCAGGTCCCTCTGAAGAGCATCCCTATCCTCCAGAGTATTGACCATGCCTCAAATTTGGTGACTGCAGATTGGTATAGAGTGCTCTCCATGCCATCCTACAGGTCGTTAATAAAGACATTAAACAGATAATTCTGGTTTAAGTAGGTTTAAGTAGTCATCCATTATAATTCACAATGATATATAAGTCTTATATTGGTGTTGTAAATGAAAAGAGATCCTTACTCCTTTTTTTTTTTTTCCATCTCTTTCACTCAACAGTTTCCTTTATTGTGTTTTAATCTTGTTTTGGATTCAGAAATATGTACTGAATCCCCATAAAGCTTTGAACTAATCCACTTGTTTAGCAGACAAGTTTCAGGTTTGGCATACAGCAGTATGTTCCCATTAAGCATAAAAGAAAATCTCCTTCAGGGCTTGCCTGCAGGTGCCAGGGGTTCCATGTAGCACATGAATAAGCATGTTGCCACCAAGGTACTGTGAAATCTGCCTGTCTCCTCTGCATCTAAGTAAGTCCTGATCAATGCCATCAGATCACGATCCTTGGTAACACCTGTTAGGAATGCTGGTATGAACTTTGGAGCTATCCCTGTTTTGAGCAGGAGGCTTGACCAAATGATCCCCAGGGTCCCTTCTATTTTTAAGTAAGTGTCTGAATAGTAGTTTTCTAATTTGGAATGTAAGGAAGGACACAACATAGGACAGACTGGCTCAGTCACATCTTATCTTACTCACGGCATCTGAAGCATGGCAGCATGTGGTCAGCTTTCTTATTTTGAGGTCCTGTGGGCTTCATGATTTACACAGATGAAAGTTGTTACCCTCTGCTGTGTGCTGCTACCTGCTGCCTGTCCTCATGTGCTACAGATAACTCTAGAAAGCTGTCATTGAAGTAATTAAAAAACAGCCTAAGTCTTGCTATCAACACTTCATTACCCAATCTGCGTGAGCTCTCCAATACATTGCTCCTGGGTAGCAAAATACCTCTAGTTCCACTACATTCCAGGCACTACATGTCCCATGGAGGGAGAAGGATATGGGCTATTACTTTAATGACAATAATAGAAGAATCCCACTGCTGTAATTGTTCTGTTTTATCTATAGCTGGTGACAGAATTCCAGCAGCCCTGGGTTTAAATAGTCTTTTCACTATGTAATTATTCAGTGTTTGTTCTTTTTTGGCCCAACTCAACCTGTACTGAAGGCAGTGGAAAGAATCCCAAAGACTTTGTTGTGCTTGGGGCCAAGCACTCAGTATATTTTACAAACAGAGTTTAGCTGCAAATAGAAACTGTGGCCGAGAGTCAGTAAAGCATGAAAAATATAAATAAAATATATGAAAATGTACGGTGCAAAAAATATGTTTTGGAAAAAAATCGTGCCCTTTTCAGCCTGCTCCAGGTATGTAGTTATTTACCTCTCATTTTGGATGTGCAAGCAGCTTCAACAGCAACAATCCAGCAATGTAACTTTTCAGCACTGCACATCAGAAAGTGTGACTACACAGTGCGGACTACTTTTTCATCTTTTCTTCATTGTCACAGAGATGAAGGAACAATATTTTATAGTACGACTGTCTACATGGATTCTAAGCATACCTTCATCTTCCTAGCAAAAGGGCACAAATTTGCCACTATTATAAATACGGAAAGAACACAGGACTTTCTTTCATTTACTTCTTGTACTTAAACTACAAAACCAGAACCAGAAATAATTGGGTTTTTTTAAGCTTAATTTTAATAAAATTGCTCTATTTCTATACAGTACTCAGCTACTGTGATGTGGTAAAAGCCCAGAAACAACTGATGTGGTTTACTAGTTATGACTGCATGCATGAAAACGCTCAAAATATGAGGTTAGGCCACAAAAGAGCATAATAATTAATGTAGGATAAGGAATATTGGTTTAATCACTTTGGAATACCAAGAAATAGCAAACTGAGAGACCTTTTTTTTACAAAGGACAGTTCAGATCAGACTTTCAGACTGAAAACAGGAGGGACTACATGAGACAGTAACAGCTGCAAGCTTATGAAACCAATAACCGCTAATGGGTAATGCAGAAGCCTGGAAATGGCTAGGTTCAATTGCAGATCTAAAAAATTTATTTTATATTTTTTCCAATGTCAGAAGTCGCCCCTTCTGTAAATCTCATGTCTGCAAGAATCAAATTTCCTCTCTATATGTAGGGATCATGTTAAATGAGGAGTAAATCAAGGTCAATTTTTGAGTATAACACAACAAAGGTTATGTTATTCTATAAACATTTTTGAGGTAGGTAGAACTCAATTTCCTATATATTCACACGCATGCATGCACGCACACACACATTTAATCTGTGCCTTCAAATCCAACTTGCTAAATCCTCAGAGAAATCATCCAATTGATGATGGATAGATTTTGAACCATATGAGGACAGATGGCACTTGCTGTACCCCTGCGCAATGCTTATGTGCTACAAATGTACAAATGTATGTTCACCTTACTTCCTAAGATAGTCTACTTCTTAAGCGCCAAGGTATTTAGAGAAGGAAATGAGTTTCTGCATTGGTTAGTAATGCAGATGTACTGCAGAACCTCCAACTACAGAATCATAGAATCATAGTTTTACACCACATCTCTGTTACTTGGCTGCCTCTTCCTCTCAAGACTATTGACAAAATTGCTAGAAACTCCAACAGAAACATTACAAGAGCTAGTAACAGTTCCACCTGGAACAAGAGTTTGAACTAAATGAGCTTCAGAGGTTCCTTCCAGGCAACATTTCTGTGATTCTGTATCTCTGTTCATCTAAGATCTTAGAGACACATTTAAGATGACAATTCGACATGACAAGGTGAGAAGAAAACAAGCTAACTCCTTTGGGACTATTATATGGTCTATGGGATGTGAAGTTGTGCTATATTTGCTATCATATGTGGAAGCCTAAGTAGGAGCCTTTGATCAACAGAAAATGTAATGTGCAAGTTAGTTTTCCTACAATGTCTTTGTTCAATCACAGAGATCCAGATTTCTTGGCCTGGTATTTTCACTCCTTGTAATCAGAAGTCATTTCTGACTATAGTTATATGCAATGCTATGAGGAATCTGTCTGGTTAAGAATCCGCTGCTCTAAAAACAAAGAGTTCTGTCATATCAAAATTTCATATCAAGACAGCTATCAAAGATTTTTGTTGTCAGTTTGAAATGGAGTTCCTCCTAATTTCTTGGCTTCGTTACTTCTAACTAGTATTGCTTTTGGAAAGGCTGATGTACATAAATCTGTGTACATATATGTGCAGCCAAAGGACATTGTATGAACATTGAGCATTTTACCCTTTGGCTTCTAATTATTGCTTCCATAACAGAGTCCATGCCCTTGTTTGTAGAATGGATATCCACTTTACAGCGGATATTCATTAGAGAGTGCAAGGGAGCTGCATCTCCTGTATACTGCTGTATTTCAGGTGCCTTGTTTTGTTCCTGGTTTTGTATTTCTTGGCTGGTTTTTATTTAACTTTCACAACTTCTGCAGAATCAAATGCAGAATTCAAGAGAAGCTCTCAATATTGCTCCATGATTTTATTAAGTTCTTTACCCATTTTCCTTCCTATTTCATCTTCTCAAGATGTATCTATTTGATTTAGATACATATACAGATTTTTTATTTTGGGGAGTGGATTTATAACCTGAACATCAACACTAAAATTTCAAAATTGCCATTTAGCTAACTGCTTGTATCATCTTCATTTCAAGCTGAGTTATAAGAGCTTCGATTCTTGACGAGTATACTTACCTCAGGTAGTGCTATGATTGGTCCTGGTGGTCCAGGTGGTCCGGGTGGTCCCACTATACTGGTCCCATCCTGTCCTGGTTTACCCTATTATAAGAGCGTTACACATGGAAAGCACATTTACTAAATACTACATTTCAAGTAGGTTTCTCAACAAGAACAAAATTCATGCAATCTCACCTGAGGTCCTGGGTCACCCTTCTCCCCTTTTGGACCCTACATGCAAAAATAAAAGCAAGCGTAATTGATTTAAAAAGAAAAAAATGAGAAAATGGATTCTCTAACTTTACCAAATACAGTAAACGCTGGCATGGAATAAACCCCCTTTCCATCAAAACACAGAAAGCTTCACCTGGTTTTATGTCAGACCCTCTGAGGTTCTGATGTCTGAAAAAGGCTACTACTACCTTTGACAGAGCTCATGAATGACAAGGAACAAATCAGCACACAACATTTCACTAGTCAGGGGTTAGCTCAGCAAACTCCTTCATAGAATTGTAGAATCATTATGGTTGGAAAAGGCCTTCAAGATCATCGAGTCCAACCGTAAGCCCTTCAACACCATACCTGTTAAACCATGCCCCTAAGTGCCTCATCTACACATTTCTCGAACACTATCACTGATGGTGACTCCACCACTTTCTGGGCAGCCTGTCCCAATGCTTGGCTACT